TAGACTTAAGAGGATGAAGACTGAGTTGAGTGATGGATGACTGAAGAAGAAAAGGCTAATTCAGGAGGTATTTTGAATGGAGAAATAGTAAGTTTGCAGATAATTTCAATATGGGGTGGATGACATGAAAATTTTGAAGGTAACCTGCATGATAACTGTTTCAGTATTGCAGACCAGAAACAACAAATTAATGACAGAAACAGAGCAGGTCCATGGATGGATGTTCCTTTTTATTTTTATTTTTTTGAGACGGAGTCTTGTTCTGTCACTCAGACTGGAGTGCAGTGGCACAATCTTGGCTCACTGTGACCTCCGCTTCCTGGGTTCAGGTGAGTCTCCTGCCTCAACCTCCCGAGTAGCTGGGATTACAGGCATGTGCTACCACGCCCAGTTAGGTTTTTTGTATTTTTAGTAGAGACAGGGTTTCACCATGTTGGCCAGGCTGGTCTTGAACTCCTGATCCACTCGAACACCTGATCACTCAGGTGATCCATCTGCCTCGGCCTCCCAAAGTGCTGGGATTACAGGCGTGAGCCACCGCATCCAGCCAATGTTCCTTTTTAAATACGGTTTTTGGAAATCTAAGGAGGGAAGGAATGGTAATGGCTGAGAAGGAGCAGACAGAAACAGGGAAAATACTTGTAAGTAGGAGTCATGGAAGGCCAGAGGTTAAACGAGAAGCAGATGATGGATAGATAGAGGCAGAGGATTAATGTCAAACCAAGGGCCTGTCTCATTGAGCAGACTTGATTCACAAGTGCTATCTTGGACACTTGGTATTAAGTCAGCTGTTCAAGGTCACATGGTGATAGGTTGCATGACAGTGAACTGATGAATGTCTTCAGTACTCAGTGTTCTTTAGAGTCTGAGGAGGATGAGAGTAGAGGAGAGACTCTTCTCTATGGAATGTATTTGGTCATCGCTAGGGACCTGCACTTCCCCACTGGCTTTAAACAAGAGAGAGTGATTGGAATGGAAAATGAAAGCAGTAAAGTGCAGGCCAAATGGGGATGGTTTGATTTGGTAAGCAGAAACAGGAGGGGGTTTGTTGTCCTGGAATAGTGAGTTTACAAAAACCTATTTGAGGCAGAAAAATTATGAACAGAAAGTTATGTAAGACATACAGGCACACTTGAAAATAGATATGAACTTGTGAAACCAGAAAATAATCACAAGGAAGTGTGGGCTCTTGGTGTTAAAGATGGTAGAGATAATGACCAATTCTATATCTTCTTGTGGTTTATAACCTGTTTCTCACACATAGTGGTTTTGAGCCTCGCAACCTGTAGGAAGTGGGTATGGCCACTTCTCTCACTAAGAAAGTACAGTTGCGAGAGGTTCAGTACCCAAAGGGGTCTGGACGGTGGTTAGCACTGAGAACACCCTGGCTTCCCAGACAGTGGCAGGAGGTAAGAGGATGACTGTAGAGGGCACTGATGGTTTAAAGTTATGATGGCAGTATTCGGGGAGCTGGTCAGTTTGTAGACTGCTCCTTAGCATTTGTGCCCCCAAATATGGTGACCAGGGGGTGAGTAGCTGAATAGAGGCAGCCAGAAGTGATTCAAGAACTTCCCTTTACCTTTCTCCACGCAGTCAGCCTTTCATGCTGTGTAATACTGAGGGTTCCATGAATGTGCTGCTGGGAGGAATATCGTTCTCCACTTGCCTAATGGATTCCTAGGGCATGCGAGGCCAATCATTCTCTCATCTCCAAATATAGCCGTCATACAGTCGTCAGATATTTAAATCTGTGAAATGCAAAGTGAAGTCTTCTCTCTAGCCCTCATCCCACTGGTATTGGGTAATGTACACCCATTATTGATTAGTGATTTAATATTAACTGCATAAATGAAAATAGACTTGCTATTTAGAGTGGTCCATTTGAATTTGACTTGGAGGTGCTTTTGTAGTAACTAGCTTAAAACCATCTGGCTGTTCAGATCTCAGTATTTAGTGAACGGCTATGCAAGTAGACATGTATTTCCATTTCACAGGGTATCCATGTGAGTTCCTAAGCAACTCATCTTTCCCAAGATGGTGCAGTGACACTTCTCCCAGGAGGTCCTTCTGCCAGAGTGAGAAGTTCAGTGAGAGAGGGCTCTGTGCATTAGGGAAGGGAGAGATTCAGACAGCTTCATGTAGATTAAGGAATTCAGACTGAAAAGGACCTTTTAAGGGGACCATCACTGGGATGACATTTTAGAAGACAATAATATGAAAAGACAGGTGGGAAGCCTTTGGAAAAATACAATTTCAGTGCCTTAGTGGATATACATATAAGTAAATAACGTTTGTCCATTCATCCCAACCCCGGGTAAGGGTTTAGAACTTGGGTAGCAGCAAAGTCCAGGTTGTACAGTTAAGAGAATAGTTAATCATGAATTTGGGTGTCCCCTTTCCTTTTTTTTTTTTTTTTTTTTTTTTTGAGACAGAGTCTTGCTCTGTTGCCGAGGCTGGAGTGCAGTGGCCCAATCTTGGCTCACTGCAACCTCCGCCTCCCAGATTCAAGTGATTCTCCTGCCTCAGCCTCCCGAGTAGCTGGGATTACAGGCGTCTGCCACTACGCCCGGCTAATTTTTGTATTTTTAGTAGAGACAGGGTTTCAACGATGTTGGCCAGGCTGCTCTCAAACTTCTGACCTCAGGTGATCCACCCGCCTCGGCCTCCCGAAGTGCTGGGATTACAGGTGTGAGCCACCATGCCCAGCCTGGGTGTCCCTTTTCAACTCAACCATTAAAGCTGGAATCGCCACTGTTCCCCAGCTTATCTGAAGTGGGTTGGATGGTGAGTTGTTTCTGGATTTAAAAAAAATGAAACACTTGAGAACCTGGAGTATCTGTCTGCAGACACATTGTGGAGGCAGTGGCGAATGTGCTGGGGTGTTGCGGTCCCCCTGCTGCACATAGGACCTACACAGGATCAGGGTCCTCCTGCCAGTCCCGAGTGAGCTGCAGGCGTGGCCCTGTTTGTTGTCGAGGTGAATTCTGTGGAGCCAAGTTCCTGCAGCTGCTGTCTCTGCCTCCACGGCAGCTGCCAAACGGGAGTCGTTTCTGGCTCTCTCTCCACAGAGTGTTTCAGGTTGAACCAGAAACTAGACGTTCTGGGGCATAATCACAATCGGGAGCAGTGTGGAGATTGTTTCGAAAGGGAAGCGGGGTGTGGAGTGGAGAAACTGCAGAGATCTGCCCCCTCACCCACTTCTTCCCCTTTCCATCTGCGTCCTGTTCCCTCCCTCCAGCCCAGCTGCCACCTGAGATAAAGTAGCTGCCCTGCCTGGGCCCGGGGCAGAGGTGGAGGGAGGGCGGTGCCATCCTGTTCTGAGGGCCCCACCCCTTGGGTGTGCCTCTGTGTGCTGATCTGGTTTGGTTGCCGCCCTCCTTCCCCAAATGCCCGGCTAGCTTGAGAATCAAAATGTGCTTTGAGGTAGGAAGGGACCTCCTGTAGAGCGGCTCTGGTATGTGGGCGACCCGCCCTGGGGTGGCTGCTTTTCCCTATGTTGGGTTGGGGCCACTGCCACCTTCATGTTTGGCTCACATGGTCCAGAAGCATCAGGGCTCTTTTAACCCAGAAGAGTCAAGCCTTGGTTTCCTTGCCCCTGCAGTTTTCCAGAGCAGCTGAAAAACATCCAAGCTGGCAAACCATTCTTCCTACTCCAAACATTAGGAGCTTTTACCAGTAAGCAAGGGGTGGGAAGCTGTTCCTTTCTTGAAGATGCTGCCAGCATAGTTTCCCTTGTAGCTGCCATCCTGGGTGCATGACTTGCAAAACTGATATGTGAGTGAGAATAAGACAGATGGCCTTTGCAAAAGCTCTGCTTATTTTGATTTTTGTGGTTCCTTACAAAAGACGAAGTGAGCATTGAACTTTGTTGGTGCTGTTGTAACTCAACGGCAGCATCACTGCGTTGTTTCCTCATTTTATTTTTCCTAAGACCTTTACCCATTATCTGCAGATTTTCACATCTAAGCAAAATAGGTTCATATGAGTCTAGTTACCTAGACAATTAATAAAAAAGAGCAAAATGTTGAGTGACTATGTCATAGGTCACTTATTGTTAAGTTACAACTTTGTAAGCAGCTTGCTTTGTAAATTTTTCATCCCCTGATAGATAGATGCTGATTTTAGAAGGTGAGAGAAGTGTTAGAAGGATGTGAATATCATTTTATTTATTGGCCATAATTAAGTGCCTTTGGGCTTTTTGGGTACAGGGTTAACCTACAGCTCAACATTTAAATCAAATCCAACTTAAGTACAAGAAACCAGATGACTAACCTCAGGGAGAACCCAAGAAAAGCTGGGCTTTCCCAGCATTGCTGTGCAGCATTCTGGGAATATAGCTTGATTTTTCTACATCTTTACATGCACAACAGTAGTACTGGGTCCTGTCTCTTGGGACAAGTTTCACTGTGATTTTAAATTTTTGTTTCAACGTGGATTCTCTATGATTGACCATCAAGTCGAAATCTTGGTTTTGACTTTCACTACTGTGGGATGTGCACAGCAAGTTTTCCACCAAATTTTCCACGTCGTTCCCCTGGCTTGTTTAATGAGAGCTTGGATTGCAGTTTTACCCCACCACCTAAATAGCCTGGGTCTCTACCAGCATGCCCCTAGGGTTTTACTTCATTTCAGCCTCCTGTGGGCATTGGATACCCTGTACTCTGTAAGGGTAACATGAAAGATAGGCCCTTTTCTTACCCAAGCTGATGTCTGAAGTACCTGTTTTCACATGACTTGGAATTAGGAATTGCCATCAGATAACCCTGGACTCTTCTGATTCACCCTTTGCACTTGGAGTTTTTGTTTTACTGTTTCCTTAACCTGTCACAGTCCCTTAATTAGAATGTATTGCTAGAGGACAGGCTGCGTTGTCCAACTTTGTGCGCATTTTATAGAAACACACAAAATCACCAGACAAGCAGCTGTAGTGTGAACTCATCCAGATGCAATACTGAAATTCCCCAGAGGGGCATCTTCATTGTTTTCTTTCTTTGTTCCAGAAGCAAAGGCCGATAATGAACCGAGCTGTTCGCCGGCAGCTCAAGAACTGTTGACAAGGCTGGGATTTTTACTGGGAGAAGGGATCCCAAGTGCCACACACATAACCATTGAAGACAAAAATGAAACCATGGTAATACCCAAGGAAGACACTACATTGCATACCTCTTCAGAGGATGAACGAAGCAATAACCATCTTCTCCCTTTCCTTGAGCAGGGAAACCATTGTTCAGTTAAATGAGTTCTGGGCTGTTGTGTATTGAAATTTATTTCAACAGTTTGGTTCTGGGTTTTTGCAGTGGGGAGGTGGAAAAAAGCAGAAAGAAGCAGAACAGAAGAAAATGTGCACATTAACCTTCTAGTCACCACCCAAAGAATAATGGCTACGTGAATTAAAGAGGCTAAAAGAATGCATTCATAATGCTGCTAGTACTTTTACCTTTATAGCACCATTCTTCTCATCTGGTTGCTTTGGTATATGCTTTCCTGTGCTTTTTTAGCTGTTGAGATTTTGGAGAGTCAGTGGGGTGAGGAAAAGATTTATAGGAGATGAGGCAGAGACAAAATAAGGTGAGATCAAATGGTTCATCTATCAGGAGAGCACTTCCCCTCCAAGGGAGCAGCAGCATGAACCCTGCCACTTCCCAGATGTGATGTGTGTGTCTGAATAGCAATGCAGGATGGAGCTTCTACCCCTGGTGAAGGTCTCTGCACTGCAAGGGAGGGTGTCATGCATTGATTGAGACTGCAGTGGTCACCAGTCTCCTTCCCCTGAATGCAGAGCCCATAAATCTTGAGGAATTGAATCAGGTTGCAGTGTTCGTGAAACATTACAAAAACAGACTTCCCAGGTTTTCTGTACAGAGGTCAAATAACCCATTTGTCTTCTGCAGACTTTAAATGAAAGGAAGTCTGCCTGTTTGCCATTTCTGTTTTACAAATGTGCATTCTCACTAAATTATTGCTAAGACTGACCTTTTAATAAAAAAGAAAATCACAAAGGAGGGGAACAGAACAAAGATACTGCTCTCTTAAAATTTGGAAGACCACGTATACATTTACATAGATAAAGCTCCGTGAATCCATATCTATACACACATCTCTTTAGATTTTTTTAAAAAACTTCCGTTTTCCTGTTCTTAGTTTTATTGTTTTAGCGTCAAAAACAAAAGCATGTGTCGAAGCATCCTGTGTAAGCCGTGCTAACTCCTCCTTCCGTTCGTCTTGCAGTGCACAGCTCTGAGTCAAGGCATCAGTCCTTGCTCCACACTAACAAGCAGCACCGCATCTCCTAGCACCGATAGCCCCTGCTCAACCTTGAATAGCTGTGTCAGCAAGACGGCAGCCAACAAAAGTCCCTGTGAGACCATTAGCAGCCCTAGTTCCACCCTGGAAAGCAAGGACAGTGGAATTATAGGTAAGAAGCACACTGCTCGGTAATGTAATGGCTCAAAGCTCGTCAACCAGAGCATTCACCAGGCACTTCCTCAGAGGGTTTTAGCGTGGTCTGTGAAGGACAGTCTGCCAGCGCCTGCTCTGTTCTTTGCAGGCGGCACTGACTCCATGTGTAGCTGAGAGAATTAAGCATTGGCTTTTACATTCCTTGATGTTTACTTTGTAACACTCAGCTCATTTGTTAAAAAAAAAAAAAAAAAATCCAGATCAGATCTGGTCTGTGCAATTACAAAAATCTTTGCTCTTCTATATTCAGTTCCATTTGTTGGGCATCAGGTCCCACTGGGGCACACAGCAGAGCAATGAAATTCCTGCATATTAAGACGTCGTCTTAGCCCAATCTCAAGGTCACTTATTTTCCTGATGATAGCTCAGGCGTGTGTTCTCTAGAGTTTCTTATCATGGGATCTGACTGCATTTTGAGGCCAGAATTTTCTACGGATGACCTCCCTGAGCCCCCACACCCATGCAATAAGTGTGGTTGTCCTGAAGCCTAGGGGTCAGGAGACATGGGTTCCAGTCCTGACTCTTAGGCCAATTTGCCAGGTGACTTGAGCAACATTGAATTTACCTTTTTTGCACACTTTCTTTCTCTAGAAAATTAAGAAATTTAAGGATTTTGATTAATCCAGTAGTTTTCAGTCCCAGGTTTATATTAGAATCATCCGTGGAATTTAAGAGTCTTTATTTTTACATGCCATCTCAGACAGACTGCATTTATGTTTCTGCAGCTGGGCTCCAGTGTCTTTGTGACTCAGGGCTCCAGCTTGGTGCCTTTCAGATAAAGATGGGTGGGACCCCTGGAGGGGATTGTTCAGACCTTCCTCTGTTCCAAGATTATACTGCAGTTTCACATGGAGCTCTTCTGAAAGATTTAACTCCCCTTTTGCTGAGTCCCCATTCCACATGTCTTTGAGGGATAGTTTGTTTTATTGTGAACTGAATGCTTCCACGTTAATATGTAATCAAATGGAATGAACGACATTTGAGCTCCTTATTTTCTTTAGTCACCTGTGATTTATTTCAAGTGTAATTTGGAAAACCAGACAGCAGGTTCATCCAGTTTGCATTTTGGGGATTGCCCCAGAAGGTCAGTGAGATTCTTGCGATTGGATTGTGGGCTCTTTGGTATAGACCTCACTATAGCTTCGTGAGGGGCCCCTCAGCTTAAGGAAGGCAGCTTCTTGCCATAATTTTCAATTGAATCAGAATCTTTAGTGGATTTTTGTTTTATTTTGCCTTCATTCTTTATTAAGATGAAATTCACATACCATAGTATTCATTCATTTGAACCACTGGATGGTTTTTAGTATATTTAAAAAGTTGTGCAACTATCACCACTATCTGATTTTAGAACATTTTCATTATCCAAAAGAAACCCTGTGACCATTAGAAAGCACACTCTTTCCTACCCCAAGCTCCCCAGTCCTAGTCAACCAGTAATCTATTAATCTTTCTGTCTCTGTAGCTTATTCTGGACATTTCATATAAATCATGGGCTGAGTTTTGTGTAGCAAATTTAAATTATTTTCACTCAGCTTGAAGGCCTTCCAGTGAGCTTATTCTGCTAATTCCCCATTCTCATCTTACCCTGCTTCCCCAGCTGCTGTTTAGTCTAGTTCAGCTAATTTTTCCCACTGTTACTTCTGTTCTTATGTTCTTATCTCTTCTGAGCTGTCCACCATAGATATATCTTTGGTATTTATTCTGAGATAACCAGATGACTTTCTTCACAGTATTCTCAGTTCTTCTGAAATTTCATCTCCTGCAGATAATTTATCTTCAAGGATGTGTCCAGTGCAGTATTGTTTTGACAGGCTTTTTCTTTTGAACGTCCTGGCCATTGGCATTACATGCCTCTGATTATAACCAAATTTTTTTTTTTTTTTTTGCTTTGACAGTTACAAACTTTTCTTGAGACAGGATTTTGCTCTGTTGCCCAGGCTGGAGTGCAGTGGTGCAATTGTAGCTCACTACAGCCAAACTTCTGGGCTAATACAATCTTCCCACCTCAGGCTCCCGAGTAGTTGGGACTATAGGCATGTGCCACCACACTTAGCTCATTAAAATTTTTTTTAACATATTTCACTATGTTGCCCAGGCTGGTCTCAAATTTGTGGCCTCAAGCATTCCTCCCACCTTGACTTCCCAAAGTACTGTGATTACAGGCATGAGCCACTGTGCCCGGCCCAAACTTCTAATAACTGAGAGCCACCCATTCATTTATTTCTCTTTCTCACTGAGATACAGTGCCACAATTTTTAAGGTATTCTAAGCAGAGGAAAGAAATGGCTCTGGTTTTTTTTGTGTATGTTGTCAATGAAAGATTAAGCTGCAGGAGATTCTTAATACTTATATAGTCCCACCCAGTAACTGACTGATTAGACACCTTCCTATATGTTCCCCATAGTGTCTCAATATTCCCCTTCAGAGTATTTGTTCTTGTTCTGTTATTTAATTTTCTCTCCAGATATAAACAGGGGTCTCATTAATCCAGCTATCTACTAGGTTCCTAGCATGCTGTTGGAAATGATCAGTTAAGGAAAGGGAAGTGTTGCCACTGTCAAGTTGCATCGGGTGAGGGAATGTTCAGTTTAGAAAGAAGCTATGCAGGATCCCCATCCCTCGTGGGCTTTGTCAAACCTTTCAGTGTCTGTGTTGTAACCTCTGCCTTGATGACAAAGTAGTACATTTCATGACATTGAAGCTGCGTTTTTCCTCTGCTCAAGCCAGCATGTTCCCTTAACTCGGCTGAGCATGAAAACTTGCAACTGGAGGTGAAAGCAAAAGGAATTAGGAAGTGGCTGGTAAGTCCCTCTCATCCAGAAGACCCCCGCTCTGGAGACCATGCCTCCCATCATGTTCTCCTGAAGGTTGCAAAGGCTGTAGAAGGGATGATAGGGAGGCAGTGCTATTGACAACATTCCTGTGTTCTCTCTTCTTCCGTGACCTGCAGAATTAGAACCTGTTGCCAAAGGACACGCTGGAGGTGTGGTAGGGAGGAGAAGGGAAAGACACAAGAATTTCCTCTCCAGGCGGACTGTAGCCACAGGTCTTTGAAGCAGGAGTGGTGGGGACAGAAAGGGGAAGAGCTTCCTCTTAAATCAATACAGGGTGTGCAGGTTCCACTGCCTCTTCACAGAGCAGATTATCTATGACTCAGTTGTGGTTCTATGATTGCTGGACTAGGGGTGTGCCTTTTTCCATCTGAAGAACATGCCTGTTTTTATAAGGTGTAGCCTGGGAATGGCAGCTTTTGGGCATCGTTAAGTGTTTCACAGAGTGAAGTATTCAAGAGCACCATGACCCTAGTGGGCGGAGATGAAGATGAGATACTTTGGCTTCCTACTTTGGAAGATCTAACAGTGGCTTGTAAAACAGGCTGGTGAGGACCCATGCTCCCAATTACATAGGGCCTGGAGAAGGCAGGAAGAGGTTTTCCATTTAATTTTCCATTTTAAGTAGTTTAATATTTGTCAGCTCTACTGGGGTTGGAATGGCAGAGGCTTTGGGGGTGGACTGGTACAAAGTGCATACAGCTGCCGAGGCCTTGCAAGCTTTGGGCAGCAGGTGGGCTCAAAGCAGGATTCCACGTACAGTATTCGCATGGTTTATTCAGAGCAGTTCAGGGAAATTTCAGACAGTGCTAAACCATCCTTTAAAATTCCTGGACCTTTCTTTACTCTTTAAGCTGATTTGCATCATGTTGGTTATATTTAATCTCAATATTTTTGCCCAGCAGATGCAGAGACAGGAAGCGTGTGTTCCCACATGCCTGGGCACCCAGTTTAGAAAGAAATATAAAGTATGTGTTTTCATCAGGACTGCCATAAGGTGCCCTGCCTGTGTTCTGTTTCCACTGCTTAGGAGGAGAAAGGGCAGGCTAGTGACCAGTAGAAGAATTTATTGGGCCCCTTCCAGTCTTCCTCTCTGGAGGCCAGGGCTTCGTAAACCCTTCCTGCCCCTGTTTCAACTGTGTTATCTTATCCGGAGGGAGGTCCCACTTTATCCTCTTTCAGGAGGTCTAAGTTCTTCCGACATAAATGTCTTTCGAAGAATAATAATTCTGTCATGTAGAAAGACTGTCGAAGCTGAATGGGATTAATTGAATTCCCTACGATTGTCTTTTTTTTTTTGAGACAGAGTCTAGCTCTGTCACCCAGGCTGGAGTGCAGTGGCGCGATCTCAGCTCACTGCAAGCTCCGCCTCCTGGGTTTACGCCATTCTCCTGCCTCAGCCTCCTGAGTAGCTGGGACTACAGGCGCCCGCCACCGCGCCCGGCTAATTTTTTGTATTTTTAGTAGAGACGGGGTTTCACCGTGGTCTCGATCTCCTGACCTTGTGATCCGCCTGCCTCGGCCTCCCAAAGTGCTGGGATTACAGGCGTGAGCCACCGCACCCAGCCGTCTTTTTTTTTTTTAAGTGAACTTCCTTACTCTTTACATGTTAAAATCATTGGCATTACCCAGAAGTTAGTGTCTGATTTTCATATTTGCAATGTGAAAATTTTCTCAATGTGAAACCCAACTGTACCCGATCACCATAAAATAGCTTTCAGTTACTTACTGTGAAAAGAAAAACTTTACAAAGTATGCTTTTAAAGGTGTTTCCTCCTTGTCTGAGAAAACATTTTTTCTTAGTAACATTCCTTTGCATATGACTTGCTTCCTACTGTTACAGATGGAAACTGTAAGCTGTATTAATCCCAGTTTAGAAAGAAATATAAAGTATGTTTTCATTAGAATGTGTGAAAACCAATCTGATTTTCAAACAAAGCATCACTTAATGTGTTTTAAAGTGCTTTGAGATAAATTTAATTTTTATGTACATATCATAAAATTTTAAGTGTGTGTATTAGTTTCAAGAAAATAGGCTATTTCTGCATTTAGGAATAAAGAGGATAGAGCCTGGATGAGAAGAAACAAACAAAAACCCAGCTTTCCTGTCAAAATAAAAAGAAAT